GAGGAAACGTTACATGTTTGAAAATCACAACAAAAACCCAATTCACAGACACGTCTCTAAGATAATAAACATGGAAGACAGGTTCCAATGGCAGCATGAGGATTGAGAGAGGGTTAAAATCAATATCTATTTTCTGTTAACAATGGCCATGGCCTCTTCTTGGTTGTTTGCTTATCAGTAGTCAGATAACAGAGATTGTTAACCATTCTCAAGCTAATCGTAAAGGGTTCCCTAAAAATTAGCTATCTAAGAAAAAACAAATACTAGTATATAGGGTAGGACTGCCCCAAGAATTTCCTCCTCCACACATACACCATTGTCAAGATTATGGCAAGATCTTTGATTTCGGGTATAGGAAAAAAAGGGTTTAATAATCAGCAAAATACCATAAAATCAATAAGAAAAACTAAAGAAAACAGGTAAAGAGAAGCACCTAAATAAACATCGAAAGAAAAAAAGCAGCACAGAGGTGTGTGTTCCAAGAAGTTCCTGAACATGAGTTGGGGGATGAAGTTCAAAGTAAAGAAATTTACTGTCTCCCAACCATCAATGACTTGCTTCCATTCGATCCATCCCAAACTACAAACCAAAGCATTGGATTTGTTCTCTGAATCATTCTAGTCTGCAATTGGTTACTGAAGAATGAAGAACCCTCGCAAACTACAATTTAAAGCTTTGGGACTGCAGTTGGTGGGGTGCGCCAGGCCAATGCTATAGTGCAAAGCAAAGGCGACGCTCGAGAGCCCCAGAAGCAAGCTACTGTGACGGACGCTCCCCCTAAATAAATAAATTTAATATCGTGTGAGCCATTGGCCCACGTATCAGATATTAAACTGATAAGAACAGATACTACACTTGATCTTAGCCAAAAGGCCGAGAAAGGTATGATTGATTCAAAGGTAGTCAGCTTTGTTTTATAGTGCGCTCCTGCTTCTGCCCTTTGTTATTTATGCCATATGGGACGACAGAAACACAAGGGTGGCGACTAAAGGTCTTGTGCTTGCAAAGCCCCTGCACGGCGGAGAATGATGTGCTCTCTTAGTCTTGGGCAAAGCTAAGAGTGCAGAGCCGGCTATGCTTATATATTGACCAAATTATACTGAACTAAGAAGCCAAAACAAGATTAATAATTCTGGTGCATAAAGGTAGTTTTTAGCTAATATTCTCACACGATGAAGATATAACAATTTCTTGTTGTTTGATCAAGACAGAATAAATGGAGACACAAGGGAGGAAAACACATGTGATTGTCAAGACAGATAAAAATAGGTTTTTGTCTCCATTTTGTTGTCCTTATAAACAGGAGAAACATAGATGGAAGGAAGTTAAAAAGAAAACTACAACTTTCTCCTTAAATATTTCTTCATTTTAATCTCTACCTTTACAGTCAGATCTGGACAATTGATTTTAATTAACAATTGTCCACAATGTACATGAATGCCCCTGTTGATGATCCTTTGCTCCGATAACATCTAGGGTTCCTCTAACAATGTGGTATCTCATACTTGATAAATCCTTAACCCTTCCCCATTTTACTAAGACCATAAAATGTTCTTGTGAATTATGGCCAATATTATGTATATAAACAGTGATTACAAATTCAGAGGTTAATTGCAGCCTGGAAACTTTAAGTACGGTAGAGCTTTTCTTTGGGTGATCATGGAAAAGTTTAATAAATCACCCTTACTGCCACTCTACAAAACTGTATATGAGATTTTCACCTCATACGACTCCTCCAATTATTTCAAAGTCATTGGATCCTTTTCATCGATTGAGAAGGTCCTCCCTCTATCCACTTAGTCCCGAAGAGTAAATAAGATAAATTCAATCATGTTTTCATGTTTCAATTGAACTTTTCCTTCTTTGATTATTCTCAAAGGAGAAGATTCTTCTTTTTACCAAACATATTCACATCCAATCATGATCTTATAATAAGAATAAGAAAAATAGATCTTTTTTTTTATCAATCCCTTTGCCCCGCATTCTTCGAGAATTAGAAACATTTTTTTCAAGTTTGTTCATTTAGAATCTGGGCTATTTTTTATTTATTAATTTTTCCCTCTTTTTTTTTTTAATTTTTTTTTTCATTCCTTAAGTCTCATAGGTTTGATCTTGTAGAATCTGACCCACTTTCTCATTGAGCGAAGGGTACGAAATAAATCAAATTGATTTTTTGATCAAAAGCTCTATGAAATCTTTGGTTTTGTCTTTTTTCGTTGCCCTTTACAACATTTGAATCAATAGAGAACCTTTTCTTCTCTATCTGTATGAATCGATGTTATTACATTCCAATTCCTTCCCGACATCTCCCAAGAAAAATCCTGAATTGGATCCTAAATTGACAAATTAGTGTGAGCTTATCCATACGGTTATGTACTCTTCGAATATGAATCCATTTTCTTAAAGATCCTAGCTTTCATGCTTTAGGGGGTCTCCGACATCCTTTCAATGACTTATGTTGTGGTGAAGGATATCTATATATTCCAATCGATTGCATAAG